AGAGAGGTGGGGGCGTCCAGAGCGGCAGCTTTCTCTACGGGAGAGGGAGAATGGAGGAAGCAGGCATGTGCCTACCATGTTCAGAAGAGGTCGTGAGAATAAACCGGAGACAACTGAGGGTTTGGCTTGGTATTTTTACAAGGTTGAGGGACAGGCTAGCTAACAGGGATGGAGGGTGCAGGAGAGTGGCCTGTGACCTGTCTCATAGTTCTGGGGTGGTTTGAATGAGAATGGCCCCATAGGCTCGTCTATTTGAATACTTAGTCCCCAGTTTGGGAAGGGTTAGGAGTGGAGATGTGTCACTGGCGGAGGGCTTTGGGATCCCACTGCGTGTCTGCTCGTGGTTGTGGAGCAGGGTGTGGGGTCTCAGTTCCTTCTCTCCACCGTCATGGACGCTGACCCGCTGGAACCTTGAGCCCGATTACATACCTCCTTTTATAAGTTGCTTTGGTCACGGTGTCTTACCACAACAATAGAAAATAACTAAGACAGGCCAAAACCCTGGCAAGCAACTAAAAAAATATAAAAGGAACAATGATTGGAAGGAAGTGAAGTCACAGTTGAGGTTAAACCTAATCAGACAGGCAGAATGGCCACACTGGACGAAGGGATAAAAGGACAAACCGGAGGAATCTGTAGACACGCTTTTTGCGCCTGTAGCTCAGGCTGAAGAGGAGAAGAGCTTCACGTAAGTGGACACTGCACTCTCTCACGTGTGTCCCAGCAGGGTCGCCAACCATTCTGAATCCTCCTCTCTGTGCTGTAGCATCGCACCAGTAGGCTGATTGTTTATTTAAAGAAAGCCTTAAGTAAAATGTTCATTTTATGAATTAAAAAAAAAAAAGATTTGGGTACTTCATTGGATGTAGGTTATATCTTAACACAAAGTATAAATAGAAACAAAAGAAAATTGTTATGACTCTAATTTTTTTTTTTTTTTACCTCTCTGAGTACCCCTTAGGATTCAATTTGAGAAGAATATAGTTACTAAGTCAGAAGGTGTGAGAAAAAATAAAGCTACCATCCATGGGGGTCAGGAATGCCTGCACACTGTCATTAGTGTCCGCTAGGCTCTTACACTGTGATAACAGGAGGAACCAGTCAAAACAGTGAGTGAGCAAAAATTTAGATCACTATTAGCTCACTGCTGGCTTTACAGTTATTTATCTGCCTTGCCTGTCTGTCTGTTTGTTGAGACAGGGTTTCTCTGTGTAGCCCTGGCTGTCCTGGATTGATTCTCTCTCTCTCTCTCTCTCTCTCTCTCTCTCTCTCTCTCTCTCTCTCTCTCTCTCTCCCCGCCCCCCCCATAGGCCAGGCTAGCCTTAAACTCAGAGATCCACCTGCCTCTGCCTCCCAGAACTAGGGATTAAAAGTGTGCACCACCGTGTCCAGGTCATCTTTACTTTTAAAGCAGACCTTTTTGTTTTAATCCTAGAAATTGTTTTGAATAACTGCAAATAATTGACCTAATGTAAAATAGCATGTTTTTCACAAACAAATTTAAAAATAATTTTAAAATTAAAAGCTAACTAATCGTCTTAAGGGAGAGATTTAAAAGAGAATGACAAAAAATCATCCCGTTATAGTTGCCAAGTCACCTCCTTTCCTTTGAATTTTCCACAGGTTGAATAAACACATATGTTACGTTTGAATCTTGCTGTTCAGTGTGCGTTCCGTGGCCAGCACGTCTTCCGTGGTTCTGTGTGTCAGAGCTGTCATTTAATGACACCCGATTGTCCTGTTGCTCTGTTCAGCTAACTTCCTCTTTTCCGATTTGTTGCTCCTCTAACTGGTGAATGTGGCTATTTCAGATCTCTGCAGAGGATGGGCTAGATCCCAGTTTAAATTTTTGCTCACTCACTGTTTTGACTGGTTCCTCCTGGCCTGTCTTCTGGATCTGTATTTGTATCAAAACTTTATCATTTTGACCATGTGAAAGTCAGGACAGTCTTGGCAGGGCACCCCTGGGTACCGTGACACTCTCTGTGACCTGAGCATTCCGTGTGGGGATTTACAGACCTCCGCACAAACAGAGCTTTTCCTCAGTGTCCCTTTGGTACAGCAGTGAGTGCACATAGCCCAAACCTTTTAGCCCACAGCCCTGCCAGCCACAAAATAAAATACAGCAGGGGGGCTGGTAGGTAAAGGTTGGTAAAGATTGTGCAATCCCCGCTCCACCCATCTTTCTGTCTTCAAGGGCATCAAAGAAGGATGGAACGCATCCATGGTTGCTTTTTCTCTAAGCAGACTACAGCAACCTCATTTTCAGAAATGCAGCATTGACGAAGTTCATAAATGCTCCTTTGTCGACCATGAGCTGTGCGGCTTGGCCCCCAGAGTTATCTCGGATAGCACAAATAAATCTGGCTGCCTCCAGTTGTCTCAAACAGGCATTAACTCCTTCCTCGTTGTCTCCCTCACAGAATTTCCTCTTGGCCTCACAGCAGCACAGGCTTGCTCTGCTCATTAATAGGTCCTGTTAAGTGCTGCCAAACCTCTGGCAGTTTAGTGCATGTGTTCCCTTAATCATTCTCTTTGTTCTAGAAGTCTCCTGCAGCCCTATTCCCCACCCCTTTCCATCGCTGGCTGTATGTAGTCTTTGAATGTCTACTGTCCACATGTTTAAAGAACATTCTAGATTACCTGCCATCCATAGAGCTTCTGCGGTCTGCTCACAGAGTACTAAATCACATCCTCCTCCTTGTCCCTTATTCGCCCCAGGAGTCTGGGCGTCAGGGATGGGACCTTCTAGAAAGCAGAAATTCCTCAGAGACAACGTTAACTCTGCCCCGGGACAAAGAACCCTTCTTAGGATTGTCATTTGTCCAGCACAAGCAAAGGACATTTGATTCTTGGTGCCCAGGGTGCAGAGGCATAGTCTACCTCAGTGGGTTGTTCATAGCGTCCGAGAGGAATACTGTGGGGATGTGTTCATGTGCTTAGGCGCAAGTTGGTTTTCCTCAAGTGCCGTGTTCTGCTTTTGAAGCTTATGAGGAAGACCCCACTGTCACACCAGCCAGACCCTGCCCACCTGATGTCCCCTTTACAAGCGAAGAATCCTTAGCCTTCTCCCCCTAAGCAGGTACTGCCCGCCTTGGAGATGCAGGAGGCAGGGTGTGTGTGTTGGTTTTTAAGCAGCTTTCTTCTCCTAGGGGTTCCTTTAGCCTGCAGGAGAGGGTGGAGAGCTTCTCAGGACGCAGGCTTACTTTACAGCTGTGGTTCTCAACCTTCCCAATGCTGCGACCCTTTAATACAGTTCCTCACGTTGTGATGACCCCCAACCATAAAATTATTTTCATTGCTCTTTCATAACCATAATTTTACTGTTATGAATCATAATGTAAATATCTGTGTTTTCCAGTGGTCTTATGTGACCCCTGTGAAAGGGTCGTTCACAGGTTGAGAACCACTGCTTTAAGGGGTTCTGTCTTGCAAGAGTGTTGAGGAACACTTCAGACTGACTTGTAATTTTTTTTAATACAGGATATATCCTCTGTCCTATTCAACCTCTCTCCTCCCACAGATGATAGATGATGGATGGATGGATGGATGGATAGATAGGTAGATAGATAGATAGATAGATAGATAGATAGATAGATAGATAGATAGATATAGATGATGGATGGATGTGATAATGGATTAGATAGATAGATAGATAGATAGATAGATAGATAGATAGATAGATAGGTGATGGATGGATGGATGTGATAAATTAGATGGATGGATGGATAGGTAGGTAGATAGATGATGGTTGGATGTGATAATATATTAGATAGATAGACAGATAGATGGTAGGTAGATAGATAGATAGATAGATAGATAGATAGATAGATAGATAGATGATGGATGGATGGATGTGATAATGTATTAGATAGATAGATAGATAGATAGATAGATAGATAGATAGATAGATAGATAGATAGATAGATAGATAGATAGATAGATAGATGATAGATGGATGTGATAATAAATTGGATGGATGGATGGATGGATGGATGGATGGATGGATGGATGGATGGATAGGTAGATAGATGATGGATGTGATAATAGATTAGATAGATGATAGATAATAGAGATAGATTGATGATAATAGGTAGATAGATGATAGATAGATAGATAGATAGATAGATAGATAGATAGATAGATAGATAGATAGAATGGAAAGAGACTGCCCACTGCACTGGCAGGAGACGACTGTCTTTGGCCGATAATCCCCCTGCTCTGAACTGTGTCTGCTCAGTGCCAGACCAGCAGCAGCTGGGAAGGTCTTAATATGGAAATAAAACGCAGAGAACATAACATGGAGGAAATGGAGTGAGGGCCTTGGTTGTGTGTGTACATTTTCCTTTTCTTTCTTTTTTGAACCTAATATTGGCTGCTCAGGTAGAGGTGTGCATAAGCACACTTTGCTACCTAACTCCCAAGAAGTTTGTATTCTTTTCAATGAAACTATTTTAAAAGCAGAACTGAAGCCCAAATAGATCCAGGGTTCTTGGGAATTCTCAGAAGGTGTCGATTTATTTACTACAGTTAAAGCATAATTAGTTCTCAGGGGATGGGGCATCTCTTAAACGCTTTACTGCCGGCATATTGGTTTTCTGAGTAATCAGAAACGTGTGCGAGTTCGAACAGAAACCCACTGTAAGTAGAAACAAATGTCAGAAATTGCTGTTGTCACTTGAAGGTAGATATGACGTAAGGGAAACAGCTTGATAAAGTCATCAAAGAACTGTGCCCTGATGCAGTCAAACTGAGCACCAGCCAGGCGGGTCACCCTGCCCCTCTCCTCTCTCTTGCCTTTCGGTGGCATTCTCTTCACCCTGTCCCGGTTCCCACCAGGCTATGAAGGGAAGAAGTACCCCTCCCGATTTACAGCTCTACGGCCGTTGGGCCCTTCCTGGCCACCGTGCACAGGCACATACTCTTCCCTCTCCTGTCCCAGCTCTTGACCCTCCTGTGTGTGTCCGTTCTAACTGACCAGTTTTTCCCACCATTTGCAGGTTGATGTTTGAGATGCCACAGGAAATGGGTTTAATCGCCATTGCTGTTCGGCAGACACAGGGCAAAGGTCAGTCATGGAAAATATGTGAGTCTCCTGCCTGGGAAGCTCAGTGTGTGCTGGGGAACTCAGTGTGTGATGAACCCTGAGATGTCTTGAGTTAGAGTCTTTCCATTTTCATAGCCACCCCCTCCTCTGAAATGGGGCAGGGGAAAAGGAGACGGACAAGGACAGATTGGACCTTAGTGGAACACACGTGTTCTCCCAGTCCACACTTTGTTAATCATGCAGTGTTTGCATTTGGTGGCCATCACACCCGGTAACCTGTGTTCCCTGCATATCCTGCAGGCTGTGATGGACAGAGTTCTGAGACATTTAATCTCCTCCAGGTCCTCAGTAAGGGTCTGTTGGAGTCTGTAAAAGGCATAACATTCAGAGGCCTCCCGCTCACCGCCCCCACCAGCTGGTACCCAGCACTGCCCGAGAGTAAGGAGCCAGTCTGGGTTCCCACCACCTTCTGCTTGCAGACCAAGAATCAGCACCCTCTCAGAGCCATGGTGGGACCCGCAAGGGCAGAGGCCCTGCCTGTGTCTGCAGGAGGCACGGAGGAGGCTTTACAGGAACATGGGTCATGTTTCCTCCAGCCAACACCAGGGCCACCCACATCCTGTCCTCACTTGGGGCAAAGAGATGAGAGTCTGCTGCTTGTCACTTCTTTGTTTGAACATAAGACGAAGAAAATATATTGTATAATCGTTATGAGATTTGACAGTATATATAATCATGATATATGTATGTATATATATATATATGTACATATATATGTATGTGTGTGTGTATATATGTATATGTGTGTGTGTGTATGTATATATATATATATATATATATATATATATATATATGTAAAATGTAGCTCAGGCTGACTTTCAGCTCCCAAACTTCCTGATGCAGCCTTCCAAGTGCAGGGCTTACAGATACACACCACTCACGCCCACCAGAGATGGTAGATTACTTAAAAAGATACTCTAGAAAAATTTTAATTAAAGTATACCTCTCATTTTGATTATTTTCTTTTCTTAACTTCAATTTTAAAAAACAAGTAGCAGCTTAGAGAGTTGCTGTCGGGGATCGTGTGTGTGTGTGTGTGTGTGTGTGTGTGTGTGTGTGTGTGTGTGTGTGCGTGCATGTGCTGTCAGGGATTGTGTGTGTGTGCATGTTTGTGTGGGTGTATGTGTGATACATGCATGTGCATTTGTGTGTGTGCATGCACATGTATGAAGGTATAATATGCACTCATGTGTACAGGCAAGAAGTCAGTGTCACATGTGTTCCTCTCACTGAACCTGGACCTCACCTATAGACTAGCCGGCTCCCAAGTCCCCAAGAATCCACCTGCCTGCCTGCATCTCTACAATACTTGGGTTACAGGCGAGGAGACCACCATGCCTGACTCTGTGTGTGTGTATGTGTGTGTGTGAACCTCGGTCACTCTCCAGTTTGTTTATTGCGGCAGGGTCTCCTGGTGACCCTGGAGTTCTCCCATTCTAGCTAGTCTAGCTAGTTTCCCCTTTGTCTGTATCCCAAGCGTCCTCATGCTTGTGTGTCAATCCACTGATTCACCAAACCACCTGCCCAGCCCCATGCCTGGCCTTTTATGTGGATGCTGCGGATTCAAACTCCGGTTCTCAGGCTTGTGCCTAAGTACTTTACAGACTGAACTGTCTCTCCAGCCCCCAGGGACTGATTTTTAAAACAACTTAAATATTCAGGTAAGAGCCTGTAGCTTAGGTTGGGACTTGCCTGACATGCACAAAGCTCCAGATTCAACCCCAGAACTAAAAGTTTGAAGCCTAAAATAACACCACTGTCACTAAGGCACAGCTCTGGGCTTCGTGTCCTTGGGCCACACAGCCAGTACTGCAGGAAGGATCACTCTCGAGAAGGAGTTTCCAGAAGGTTCTGTGGGTCAGTGTAGCTTGTCCGGTTCCCCGGCTTGCTGTTTTCGTCCACGTGACCATCTGTTAGCACAGCATTCAGGCACTATAAGACATGAACCGTCAGGAGTATAAAACAGGCAGGGAGTTATGCTATGTCTCAGCAGCAGCTTTGTGGTAAGGGGTGCACATGTAGGTGCAGATAAGTGTACAGGTGTGGTATGTGTCTGTGCGTGTGAGAACCAGGGGTCCACCTTCAGTGTTGTTCCTTGGGATTTGGGCACCTTATTTTTCAGACAGTGGGACTTGCAGATTCGGCTAGATTGGCCAGGGAACCCCTGCTTATCTCTACCTCTGCAACACTGGTACTGTAAGTCCATACCAACACGCCCCTAGACCCAAGTTTTTATACAAACACTAGAGACTAAACTCAGGTCCTCACACTTGTATGGCAAGAACTTTACCAAAGGAGTTTTCTTCCCAGACCCCAAAGCATCCTTCTTCCGTTGAGTTAAGCCCAGCATATCAAGGTGTGTCACTAAGACTAATAGACTCGGGTGGGACAGGTGTCAGGTGTGTGGCGTTAAGACACTGTTGTCTAGGAGTGTCCACGCTTGAACAGTGTTCTCTCAACGGGTCTATCTTCCAGGAAGAGGCCCGAATGCCTGGCTGAGCCCTGTGGGGTGTGCCCTTTTCACCCTGCTGGTCTCCGTTCCCCTGAGGTCACAGCTGGGACAGAGGATTCCGTTTGTCCAGCATTTGATGTCCCTGGCTGTGGTGGAGGCCGTGCGGTCCATCCCAGAGTATGAGGTAAGTGCGGCTTCTTTGTCCCCCACCTTCCCGTGAAGCCTCCAGCTCGGCCTTCTGCGTTTGTGGCAGCATTTGTGTATTTGGCTTGTCACAAAGCCTGTCACCCACGTCCACGGGGTACCATTTAGAGTGCGTAGTTCTGGCCCCGGCCCTGGTTCGGGGATACAGTGTTTGGCTGACATGCCTTTACAGTGTTGCTGTGGGCGACTGCGTCCACGGAACATTTCCCAGAATCCCTCGGGGCTGTTGATCAGGTTTCTCAGGGGCCTAGTAAGAACACGCTTTTCTTCTTTTAATGAAAACGTTGTTTCAGGGCTGAACGGAAGCTCTCTGCATTTTCAGGTTTTTTTTTTTTTTAATAAAAAAAAGGCTGTTTTGTGGACCTAAATTACTTCTTCCCACCCCCCCTGACCCTCATCTCCACTCAGCGGAGCTGCTCTTTGTCTGTGGTTGATGGAGTTCAAGGCCAGGTTCATTTGGTGCTGTCTTCCCGCACCGCAAGGACAGGTGTGCTGACATCCTGTCACTGCCTGACTTGGACCCCGCTCCCGGTACCAGTCTCGTTGTTAGTCACTTTGCTGCCATAGAACACCGCGACCAACCGAGGCGACTTCCAGAGGAAAACGTTTATTCCAGCATACGGTTTCAGGGAGATGAGAATTCATCGTGGCAGGGAGGCACGGCAGCGGAAACAGGAAGCTGAGAGCTCATCTCCTCAGCCACAAGCAGGAAGTAGCGAGAGCAAACAGGAAGTAGGCAAGGCTCTTTACCTCAAAGCCCCTAGTGACAGACATCCTCCAGCAAGCCTGCACAACCTCAAACCTCCACAAACAGCACCACCAGCTGGGAACCAGTTTTTCAGATAGTCTGTGGGTGGCGCTCCTCCTCAGACGACTGTAGTGTCTTGTTAAAGAGACAGGAGAAAGAGAATGATGAATTCGGTGACCAGAGCCTTTCTTCCATACCTGTCTTCACTTCCCTGTGCACCCGAAACATTGCTATGGCAGCTTCATGTGGCCACGAAGAGGAGGTGCTCCTGGCCTGGCTCCCACCGTCAGCTCTTATGTCAAGGTTTTTGTGTTTGTTTTTAAAGGCTGTGTTGGTTCCTTAAGTGAGATTCGAGAAACACAGCTTTCATTACCAGGCACCCCACATCATGACTGTGTGATGAGTTCTGGGCCCATCAGAGCATCACAGACCTTCAAGGTGCCTGAGCTGTGCCCTTGATCTCATAGGAGGTGCTGAGAATGTGGCCCTTTGTGGTAGGACCAGGCACAGTTAACCCTTGTGGGAAGATAGTCCGTCTTCATCAAGTCAAACTCTGAGGCTAGAACGCAACGTGAGACTGATCCCCTTGGTCACGGCTTTGTCTTCTACCTTGATGCCTCACTGGTTCACGTGGTGCCTTCTTGGAGCCCCTGCTGTGTGCAGAGGTGGTGTCGGGGCACGGGGTTGTAGACTGGAAGGGGGAGAGGAATCTTGCTCATGGGGACAGGCTGTTGGGGACAGTTGCCACTGGAGATCTTACCATTCCACGGTTGTCAGCCTCACCCTCACCTATATGAGACGACTTCCATTTTGAGCGCAGTTATTTTGATTTATTTTACCTTTGTGCAGTGTATTTTGATCATGTTCATTCCCCCTACTTCATGCCTCCAACTCGCCCACCTTCCCCTAACACACCCCTCTCAGCTTCACTCTCTCCTACTTTTTTATAATAAGTCCAGTTGAGGACAGACAACCCACCCGTGGCCACGGCCCCAAAGGAAAATGAGTCTCCCTCCTCCAGCATCCATCACTGTAAGAGCTCCCCAACTTGGGTTAGGGTTATGTGATTCCTTTCCCCATCCATACTGGCATTTTGACTGGTTCAACCTTGCATGGGTCTTTCACAGGCGACCGCAGGAGACAGCGTTTCGTGGGAGTCCTCCCCATCCTCTGGCTCTGAGATTCTTTCTGCTCCATCTTATTTGATGTTTCCTGAGCCTAGAGAAAGTGGGGGATTTCTCATAATCTATTCAGGCTAAACGCTTGTGTTCACTTATTCTTAGTGCTCTGGTCAGTTGTGAGTTTCTGTATTACATTAACCACTGCCTTCTACAGAAAGAAATGTCTCTGATCACGGTTGAGAACAGCACAGATCTATGGGTATAAACATAAATAGTTACCTGGCAGTCTGACAACATGACCGTCTAGTAAGACCATTAGGGTCTTACTGTTCAGTTTAGTTAGCAGCCGAGGGTAAGTGGCAATAGTCTCTGTTGTTTGGGGAGCCTTGGGAGCCTCCCTGAGCAGCAACTCATAGGGAGGTGACCATATGTCCTTTCATAGTCCCTTTATTTGGGTTAATTCTCCCCCTGCCCCGTACTTTTCATTCCCAAACCCCGTCTCCCTCCCTCCTTAGACCTCCCCCCATGGTGTGGCTCTTAATTTTCCTTTTTCCTGGTTCTGCTGTCCCCGCCTTTCCTGTACCCTCTCCCCTCCACCAGCCACTTTATAAGTTCCTGGCATCCGAGGGTGCCTCAAGTTAAACACACAAAACTGAAGATCCACAGCTGGGGTCCACACACGAGAAAGGACATACGGTGTTTGTTTTTCTAGGCCTACCTGACCTCCATGACTGGAGTTAGTTTTGATGTAGCCGAGTTGACCCACATAGAACAGCTACTGGATGGTTGGGTTCCCTTTCTCTCTGGCCTTTGAAGGGGTGACGGCCTGTCCTTAGTTGGGTGTCACTGTCAGCATACAAACCAGGATCGATTTCTGCACACTAACTCAGTGTCACTGGAATGTGCCCTCCTTCCCAGTCCCAGGCTGCCTGCTTCTCTCTCTGTGGCTTCTCTGCCTGCCCTTGGCTGGACCCCCACAGCCCGCCCTCACCCCCGCCCTCACTTCTTCCCTCTGTGTGGTAGAAAAGTCCTTCCTCCTTCCCTGGGAGCTGAAGTTCCTTTCCCAACATTCCTTCCTCTAGGCCAAAGCACAGACTTAGGTTTCATTGAGAGAGAGTCTTGTGTTCCCTGTTCCCTCACCCATGAGTTCCCAGAAATCAAAGACAATTTGTTTTACTTAGGTCTGTGTGGGCCATAGAACTTTACGTATAAGAAAGTCACAGGGGTTGTTGGAATAAATGACCAAAGATGGGATGTAACTCAGTTGGTAGAGGCTTGCTCAGCATCAGAGGCCCTGGGTTCCATTCCCCACACTGGCACATCAACAGTGTGGTTGCTCACACCTGTAATCCAGCCCTTGGGAGGTGCAGGCAGGAGAATCAGAACTTCAGAGTCATCCTTGGCTGCATAGAGAATTTGAGGACAGCCTGGGCTACATGAAGCCCAGTTTCAGAATCATTCAGTCAGCAGGTCATCAGGGAAAGAGGAAAGCAGTTCCTAGCCTCACTTTTCACCGTGGGGCAGATGTTCTTGTTTGCCTGAAGGAGAACCTAGGAGTTGTATAAGTTGTTTCCTTCCTGAACAAGAACAGAACCCAAAAGTCAGGCCAGGGCTGGAGCACAGGGCCACCTCAGAAGGAAGCCACTGCCACTTGAGAGAATCCTGGCCCAAGCCTTGTGAGGTGATGGGGACTTGATCTCATTGCCGTGGCCATAATGGGGAGCACAGAGGGGAAGACTGTGGGCAGAAGATCACAGGGGAGGACGGTGGGCAGAAGATCACAGGGGGAGGAGGGTGGGCAGAAGATCACAGGGGAGGAGGGTGGGCAGAAGATCATAGGGGAGGACGGTGGGCAGAAGATCACAGGGGAGGACGGTGGGCAGAAGATCACAGGGGAGGACGGTGGGCAGAAGATCACAGGGGAGGACGGTGGGCAGAAGATCATAGGGGAGGAGGGTGGGCAGAAGATCACAGGGGGAGGAGGGTGGGCAGAAGATCACAGGGGAGGACGGTGGGCAGAAGATCACAGGGGAGGAGGGTGGGCAGAAGATCACAGGGGAGGACGGTGGGCAGAAGATCACAGGGGAGGAGGGTGGGCAGAAGATCACAGGGGAGGAGGGTGGGCAGAAGATCACAGGGGAGGACGGTGGGCAGAAGATCACAGGGGAGGACGGTGGGCAGAAGATCACAGGGGGAGGACGGTGGGCAGAAGATCACAGGGGAGGACGGTGGGCAGAAGATCACAGGGGAGGAGGGTGGGCACAGGAGCACAGGGGGAGGACGGTGGGCAGATCACAGGGGAGGACAGTGGGCAGAAGATCACAGGGGAGGACGATGGGCAGAAGATCACAGGGGAGGAGGATGGGCAGAAGATCACAGGGGAGGACGGTGGGCAGAAGATCACAGGGGGAGGACGGTGGGCAGAAGATCACAGGGGAGGACGGTGGGCAGAAGATCACAGGGGGAGGACGGTGGGCAGAAGATCACAGGGGAGGACGGTGGGCAGAAGATCACAGGGGAGGACAGTGGGCAGAAGATCACAGGGGGAGGACGGTGGGCAGAAGATCACAGGGGAGGACAGTGGGCAGAAGATCACAGGGGAGGAGGGTGGGCAGAAGATCACAGGGGGAGGAGGGTGGGCAGAAGATCACAGGGGAGGACGGTGGGCAGAAGATCACAGGGGAGGACGGTGGGCAGAAGATCACAGGGGAGGACGGTGGGCAGAAGATCACAGGGGAGGACGGTGGGCAGAAGATCACAGGGGGAGGAGGGTGGGCAGAAGATCACAGGGGAGGACGGTGGGCAGAAGATCACAGGGGGAGGAGGGTGGGCAGAAGATCACAGGGGAGGACGGTGGGCAGAAGATCACAGGGGAGGAGGGTGGGCAGAAGATCACAGGGGAGGAGGGTGGGCAGAAGATCACAGGGGAGGACGGTGGGCAGAAGATCACAGGGGAGGACGGTGGGCAGAAGATCACAGGGGAGGACAGTGGGCAGAAGATCACAGGGGGAGGAGGGTGGGCAGAAGATCACAGGGGAGGAGGGTGGGCACAGGAGCACAGAGGGGAGGACGGTGGGTAGAAGATCACAGGGGAGGAGGGTGGGCACAGGAGCACAGAGGGGAGGAGGGTGGGCAGAAGATCACAGAGGGAGGAGGGTGGGCAGAAGATCACAGGGGGAGGAGGGTGGGCAGAAGATCACAGAGGGGAGGACGGTGGGCACAGGAGCACAGGGGGAGGACGGTGGGCAGAAGATCACAGGGGGAGGACAGTGGGCACAGGAGCACAGGGGGAGGAGGGTGGGCACAGGAGCACAGGGGGAGGACGGTGGGCAGAAGATCACAGGGGGAGGACGGTGGGCACAGGAGCACAGGGAGGAGGAGGGTGGGCACAGGAGCACAGGGAGGAGGAGGGTAGGCACAGGAGCACAGGGGGAGGAGGGTGGGCACAAGAGCACAGGGAGGAGGGTGGGCACAGGAGCACAGGGGGAGGAGGGTGGGCACAGGAGCACAGGGAGGAGGGTGAGCACAAGAGCACAGGGAGGAGGGTGAGCACAAGAGCACAGGGAGGAGGAGGGTGGGCACAGGAGCACAGGGGGAGGAGGGTGGGCACAAGAGCACAGGGAGGAGGGTGAGCACAAGAGCACAGGGAGGAGGGTGAGCACAAGAGCACAGGGAGGAGGAGGGTGGGCACAGGAGCACAGGGGGAGGAGGGTGGGCACAAGAGCACAGGGAGGAGGGTGAGCACAAGAGCACAGGGAGGAGGAGGGTGGGCACAAGAGCACGGGGGGAGGAGGGTGGGCACAGGAGCACAGGGGGAGGAGGGTGGGCACAAGAGCACGGGGGGAGGAGGGTGGGCACAGGAGCACAGGGGGAGGAGGGTGGGCACAAGAGCACGGGGGGAGGAGGGTGAGCACAGGAGCACAGGGGGAGGAGGGTGGGCACAGGAGCACAGGGAGGAGGAGGGTGGGCACAGGAGCACAGGGAGGAGGAGGGTGGGCACAAGAGCACGGGGGGAGGAGGGTGGGCACAGGAGCACAGGGGGAGGAGGGTGGGCACAAGAGCACGGGGGGAGGAGGGTGGGCACAGGAGCACGGGTGGAGGAGGGTGGGCACAAGAGCACGGGGGGAGGAGGGTGGGCACAGGAGCACAGGGGGAGGAGGGTGGGCACAGGAGCACAGGGAGGAGGAGGGTGGGCACAAGAGGAGAGAGAGCAAGCCTTGGGAGAATCGTGAAGACCAAAGATCCAGCTTGCAGGTTTTGGGGACCGGTCTGTCAGCCTTAGTGACGGTGCCATCTTGGTCATTTGGGGCTGTCCTGAGCGTGAGAAGATGGGGAGCAGCACCCCAGCCTCACCGTCTGAATACCAGCAGTGCTCAGCCAGGCTGCCCCCTGGTCTCCTGTGGTTGCCAGATGCTCAGCACTGAGGACCGGGCTCCAGACAGGAGAGAGTGAAGGTCTTGTGAGCGCTCCGGCCCCAGCAGCACCTGGTCCTTTCTGTGGCTGCTCTTTAGTCTCAGTGCTTGTGTTGGGGCTTCTAAAGCGCAGTGACCGTGAGGGTCTGGAAGGAGAGGAAGGGATTTGGTGGCAGCAGTAGGTCACAGGGCATCGCACTAAGCACCTAGGCTGGGTGTTGGAAAGCCGTGAGCTTGAGTCCCCAGGTGCTGCTGCCAAGAGGGGTCCGCTCGGGAGCCCTGGAAATCTAAAGGAGAGAGATGCAGACCAGCACAGGGTACAGACGCGCTAGGAAAGGCTCGGTGCTGTGCCTCAGCCACAAAGTGGGTGAGATAGCGTCAGCCCCACAGACTTGGAGACCAGCCTCCTCCTTTCCCGGCTTTAGTTAGCTGTGTCTCCTTCCAGCTGCACGGCTCCATAAGAATTTCCTTTGCCCACGCGTGACCCAGTGCGGCTGCCAGACAAGATCCAGGAGTCCCAATCCAGGCCTCTTGCTCTAGTCCAGTCTGTGTTTCCAGGGGTGAGGTCTGGGAGGCCTCGACCCAGAAGGTGCCCTCCTTGTCCATTCTGCACAGAGCAGGGCACAGGCAGATCCCAGCATACCACACCCTTCATAATGGAGTCTGTGGCCATAGGACAGATCCACTGCTGTACCCCAGTCCCCTGTTGACAAGGCGCTTGCTAAGGCAGTGGTTCTCAATCTTTCTAATGCTGTGACCCTTTATTAATACAGTTCCTCCTGTTACGGTGACACCCCCCCCATCATAAATTGTTTTCATTGCTACTTATCACTGTAATTTTGCTACCGTTATGAATCATAATGTAAATATCTGATTTGCAAGATAGTCTTAAGTGACCCCTGTGAAAGGGTCATTTGACTACAGAGGGGTCACGACCCACGGGTTGAGAACCACTGCTCTAAGGGCTTGGTGAGCTGGACCCTCTGCTGCTTCATAGCAGTCTGCTCCACACCTCATGCCTGTCAGTTCAAAGCCATCTTCGTCTGTCACGGCTTCTACAGGGCAAAGAACCCTGAGGACATTGTTCTCTCCCTCCCCCACACCTGCCTCCTGATGACAGTTGTGGTGCTGAGATATTAATGAACTAAATTTATAAGACATCTCTCCTCTTTTGGCTGTTCTGTTAGGAGAGTGTGTTGGTTTGTTTGTTTCGAGTGCTGGAGACTGAGCCCAGGCATCCTTACCAGGCCACTGCGCTGCACTGAGCTAATACCACCAGCTCACCTTTTCAAGTTTTCTTTTGAAAAGGAGTCTCACTAAGTTGCCCAGGCCGGCCTTGAACTCGTTATGTTTTCCAGGCAGGCCTCAAATTTGCAATCCTCCTCCCTGAGCCTCAGGGGTAGTTGTGCAAAGATGTTTTAAAAGTGAGGGACAGTGATGGGAATAGGTGAGGGTTGCTGAGTGGATGGAGAGTGCTTTGTCAGGGTTTTACGTTCTAGCTCCAGCAGGGGCTTGAATACTGGGTTCCCTGGGGCTGGAGAGATGGCTCCATGATTAAGAGCAATGGCTGCTCTTCCAGGGGACCTGGGTTTGATTCCCAGCACCTACGTAGCAGCTCACAACTGTGTAACCCCAGTCTTGGGGGGCTCTGGCACCTTCTTCTGGCCTCCATGGTACAGACATAAAACAGCCATGCACACAGAGTACGTTTGGAAAGGACTGTACTGTACCCCACAAAGTGGTCAACTGCCTAAGGCAGGAGAAAGGACCGGGTCCCTGTCCCTTAGTTTCGTGAGTATTCTGTTTCTCTTTCATCCCATTGCTTGCTACCCTGTGGTTTATTGCTTAACTAACATGCAGATTTCCTTCTAGGAGATCAACTTGCGAGTGAAGTGGCCCAATGATATTTATTACAGTGACCTCATGAAGATTGGTGGAGTTCTGGTTAATTCAACACTTATGGGAGAAACGTTTTATATCCTTATCGGTGAGTTCTTAAAGCCCTGCCTCCAGCATTGTTTATATTAACAAAACAGCAAAAATTAAAATGTCTTCTGCATGCCTGTACCCGAGACAGCAGATGTCATTGTGAGATGATGTTTTCAGTCTTAGGTTATAGAGTGTGTGACGTGGATGCAGAGAGGACCAGACGAGTTGAGAACACTTCCAGGGCTTAGCAGTTCCCCTCTGGGGCCGTGGAAACTGCCAAATTGGTATCACACCTCACAGATGTCTTTCCACGGGTCTGCTTCTCATGGAACTTGAAATACTGGAGACAAATATTTTACAATGATTACATTTTATAATAAGCAGTGATTAATGTCTGTGGCGGTTAGCTTAATTGTCAACCTGACGCAGTGTAGAACCGGCTGGAGAGAGTCTGGATGAGGGACTGTCCATATCGGGTTGGTGGGGAATTGTCTTGATGATGTTCATCAACGCAGGAAAGCCCAGCCCAGTATGGGGAGCCCTAGTCTCCGCTTTCTGTTGGGGTATTTATTACAGTAACAGAAGTGAGGCTAAGACACTTTGCTGCCCGCCTTGCATCCTTAGCCATGAAGAGAAATTACCTTTTAACCTTAACAAAAAACAAAAACAAAACAAAACTCAAGCGAGTCACAGCAGGACAGAGTCCCTGCCCTCTTCACCTCAGTGCATCCGAGGAGGTGGTTCCACAGCAGTTTCAGGAGGTCTGAGGACCCTGATCATCCCACCACCCACCTCCTAATTCCCAGGAGTGCTCACTTGCCACTCAAAAATCAGCAACAGACGGAAACACGTGATCGTGTCTAGGGCGCCAAAGAACACAGACTCGCGTTTCCAATTCTGCTACCAACTGGCAGTGTTTTTCTAGGCAAGCTGCTTCATACTTCTAAAGCTCCACACCCTATATTTAAATGAGTCATTGTCCTATATGCAGATTCCAAACAGCATCCACTGGTACTGTGGCCAGAGGTCTGCTTCGGGAGGCTGAGGGATGGTGTCAGGGGGAAGTTGAGGCAGGATGTGTAGCTTAGTTACGTTCTTACAGCTGTTGGAGGCTGGAGAGTCAAGAAGAGCAAGTTACAGGGTGAACAACAGAATAGTCTGTCTTCTAGACAGACAAATCCAACTTGATAGTAATGGATATTGTTATTCTCCCTCAGAGTTTTAATCGTGTGAATGCTGGGAGAATTTGCACCATCATCTAGAGCAGCAGTTCTCAATTTGTAGGTCGTGACCTTTTCAAGGTTGCATAGCAGATATCCTGCATATCCGATATTTACATTACGATTTGTAACAGGAGCAAAATTACAGCTATGAAGTAGCAACAGAATATTGTTATGGTTGGGGGTCACCACACCATGAGGAGCTGTATTAAGAGGTCACAGCGTCAGGAAGGGTGAGGACCACTAATAATGTCAAGCTGCTTGTGTGTGTGTGTTTGTTTCTGCCCAGGCTGTGGATTTAACGTGACTAACAGTAACCCTACCATATGCATCAACGACCTCATCGAAGAGCACAATAAGGAGCACGAGACAGGCCTGAAGCCCTTACGAGCCGATTTTCTCATAGCCAAGGCGGTGACTGTGCTGGAGAAACTGATTGACAGGTTTCAGGACCAAGGGCCCGATGGCGTCCTTCCTCTCTATTATAAATACTGGCTGCACAGGTCAGTCCCCGTTGCCCTCTCTCGTTTAAATTCCCTGAAGTTAGTGCTTCAGTTTCCCAGCGTGAAGGGCTGAGCATCGGCCTGGATGGTTATTTTTTAACTCTGATGGAAAAGCCCCGTGACTCAGCCTAGTCAGGAGTGAGAGGAACCGGCCTCCTGGAGGAGGCCCTGGGAAGGACACGGCACTGAGAACATCTAGAAGCAGTTTAGTGTGGACTGTGAGGAGCGGTCAGACACATCTAAGTGGTGGAACCTTCTAGGTCTTAAAATGAGATTCCCCGTGCACCCATGGCAGCTTCGCCTGCACCTAGGATCTTCTGAATCTGTGCTCTGGGGCTGAGGCCAGCCCCCCACGTGCTAACAAATGCTCCTGGTATCCTCCTGCCGCTCAGGTGCGGGGGCCTCCACCCTTCCATAGCGTCAGTGTCCTCAGACTTAAGAGAAGGTGGACAGCACTGTGGAGCTGCTTGTCCCCCCCACCTTTACCTGGGTTCCAAGGATTGAACTCATGTCACCAGGCTGGTGCTGCAAGTCCCTCACCGGCTGAGCCCATCTTGCCTGTCCCTATGTACTGCTTTTCTTTTCCTTTCTTTATTTTAATTAGCATATATTGATTTGAAAAAATAGCGGGTTTTGTTAGGACATTTCATACATGTTTACAATATAATTTGGTCGTATTCGCTGGTCCCCATTGCCCTCTCTTGTCCCTCCTTCCCCCTCGTTTTCCCACCTCATCAGCAATAGGATCAGAATTAGTGTGATGTGGTACGTAGAAGTCCCAGCCCCCACCACTGTGGCTGCTTGAGTAGGAATTAAGACATTTCACAGGGACAGAGAAAGTCGGAGCTTGCTATAATAAGCCACAGCCTGTCCCCGAGACCCTGGTCCCTTGTAATGAATAGTCACTCAGCCTGTGTTCCAGCCTTCTGTTGCCTCCTGTGACGCCGGTGTTGGTGTGCTCCATTTTCAGTGGTCAGCAAGTCCGCCTGAGCAGCACCGAGGGGCCACAGGTGTCTGTTGTGGGCCTTGATGATTCCGGATTCCTGCAGGTCCATCGGAAGGGTGGTGAGGTTGTGACCGTGCATCCAGATGGCAACTCCTTTGACATGCTGAGAAACCTCATCCTGCCCAAGCGACAGTAGCGCATGTCTCCAGACAGCTTGGATCTGCCCTGCCGCAGCAGCAAGCCACACGGGAAAGCTCCTGGGCTGCTCCTGGGAGCGCTGAGCAAGCACCCTGCTTCCCTGGCTGTCGCCTTTGCCTGCCTAGGGCCCGAGAAAGGAATGTAGAGCTGTAGGCCAGTGTCTTCTCCGAGTCATTTGTTAGCTCTTCAGGTTATTGGTTCCCTGCCTCCGCCCCTACCCCACCCCACCCCCGGGTTTGGGTTTTTACTTTGTCTTTTTATATCTGTGGTTGTATTTGGTGTTTGAAGATGCATCTGGTGAGGATGGACAGGTGAAGACTCAATTTAGCTTTGGAGTTGGGTTTGCCTTGCACAGTGTCAAAGTGCTCTTTCCCACATGGGCTTGGACTTACGTTTACTGGGAGAACATGAGGGGCAGGGAGCTGGAAATAGCAATGCGGTAGTGCAAATATTTCCCAGGTAGTGAAGGCTGTTCCAACAACGAACGCGCTGAGCTCAGGCGAATGCTGAGTTAGCGGCCCACCGTGACTGCTTGTGAGCCTCCAGAGGGGTTCTCCCAGAACACACGGTGGTGCTTAGGCACTGGGCTGTTCTTTGATTTGGTTCTGGGGGGTTGTTGTTTTTCTTAATCAAGGTGGGCTACCTGAAGAGTGGCTGCGGTGACCCCCGCGTGGCTGCGGTGGCCTCGGGGAGGAAGTAAGTTTCTCACTTTGCTCTTATGCAATGAGCACTCCTTCCCAGGGTCAGATGTGTCAAGTTTTAGGCTTTTAAGCCAAGATGGCACCTGCTTTGGAGGCTGATGCTAAGCCCAGGTTGGAGATAAAGGCTCACTGTTCTGCCCACATGAGGGACGACTCTTGGAACTTTTAAGCCAGTCATCGGCTCTGTTAGAATGTGGAGCATTCCGACAGGGCTGTCCTCATGCGGAATGGAGTGCGTGGCACTGTATTGCAAGTCGAGATTTTCTGCCCCCTATTTCCTTTTATTGTCATGAAAGAAAGAGATATTGACTCTAAAGTTTGGAGGGGTGTGTGTGTGTGTGTGTGTGTGTGTGTGTGTGTGTGTGTGTGTGTGTGTGCATGCCCGAGCGCGCTCACATATGACTTTAAAAGAGATGTTCAAACTCTGATGTGTCCATAGAAGAACAAAGGAAAGGAAGCCTTTCTAGGTTTGTTTCCAGATGTACGAGTGCTTCCCATGTACCTCCCGTCTCTGTGGAGTTTGTGAACTGCACCCATTACCACCCAGCCTTAAAGAACCAATTCCTGTCTGCTCTCCCGCTTCCTGCCCATCGGACTGCAGTCGGTGGAAAGGAAGCAACAGAGCGCAAAGCTTTGAACAAGATCCCCTCATCGTGAATGAGCACCATTTTTATCCAGGTCTTACGTAGTCAGGCCATACTCCAGAAACCTGAGGCTTTCAGTATAAAAACCCATCCACCTTCAACCTAGCACAGACAACCCCACTTGAAGCAAGAAATAACATGGTAAATTCCACCAACCTGACCTATGTTTGAGGGCATGTAACTTTAAAAGAACTTTAGAAAGTAACTTTTTTTTTTTGCAAATAAGACTTCAACTAAAAATTTTCTCAAAAAGAGATTGTGTGTGTGTGTGTGTGTGTGTGTGTGTGTGTGTGTGTGTGTGTGTGTGTTTATAATTTTAGTTCAGGTCTTTTTTTTTTTTAATTCATGCGAGTTTAAATAAAACTCTACACCACCCCGAAATTACAAAATGACCGACCCTTGAGAGGGCGTCTGTGAAATGTCATCGAGAACGAAGATCTCCAGGCTGATGTTGTAAGCTTCGTTTCTCAGACTTTGTAATGTAAGTCCCGCTGTCTCCCAGGACAGCCGTCATTGCATTTTAAATTTCTTTGGGGGATTATTTAATGAAAAACATGCTGTTTTGTTTTAAACTGAAAACCTATTCTGGATAGTTCTACTTTGGGAAAAAATGTTATCATTTAATTTCCTTTCTGTAAGTTAAAACTAATGAAGTGTGGTCATGGCAGAGCAGACAGAGATGTTCTGGCCCTGGCAGCCGGCCTCTGAGTAGTTACACTGTTTTGGGGTATTCTCGATTATACAACGTGACACCCACTTGTCTTGAGAGAGAGAAAGAAGCCTTGAAGCAGATGCTTCCCATTAACCTGGTTTTGCCTCACGTGAACCAAAGACTTCAAAGTCCACATCGTAGAGAGCATTCTGCTGATGGAGGTGGGGAGGCTGCCCCTGTACCTGCTCCATGCAAGGGTATCTGTAGACTCAGCAGCCTGAGATCTCGAGGAACCCTACAAAGTCTTAAGGGAATCTTTGCTGTCTCCTCACCTTGAGATGTGGCCACCTAACTCAGAATCTGCATATGCTTTAGAGCAGGTTACTCCTGATGTAAAGCTGCTTACATATCCCCCACACCCCCCAGCCCCGTGTCGGAAGGCACACACAGCAAAAACTGGGTTTCATATGACCCAGCTAGAGCAGTGAGGGAGCCCTGGCAGGGAGGGCTGGAAGTGGGAGATGTGTGTCCTGTGGATCTCAATGTGCACGATGACATGACCCAGTGTGGAGGCAATGTCCTGTCTGCAGCGTGGTCAGATACACACCCAGTGAGGGACCACAGACTGGGGGTTCCCCTATACCTAGCACACTGTGTGGTAGTCCCCTGGCCTATCTCACAGGGCGCTTCCAGAGTGCAAGAGGGGCATCTTAGGAGCTTTGCTTTCCCAACCTGCCAGAAATGGGACGTCCTCATTCCTGGTTCTTCACTATGCATCTTTGAAATAAACAAAAATGTAAACCTTTGCTATTTTTTATTTTTTAGCTTTTCAAAGAATCATCTCTGAAAAGAATTACTGTAAACCAATGCCTATAAAGCAAGTCTACCAAAATAAACTTTTAAGATTTTTCACTATGATTCAGGCTCATTCTTTTTTTTTAACCTCCAGTGTCATTATTAAAAACAGTCAGTAGCTTTTGATTGCACTCTTTTTATTTAATATTTAAGCATGATCCTGTGTAAGAGTTCAGGAACCTGGTGCTTTGTGAGTTTTTGTGTATTTTTGGCAGGAAGGAAATCTTACTAGCCAAAAGAAGAGCAGCTCAGAAAGGTCCAAAGAACAAACAAATCTTTCCAACCAAATGAGAGGGAGACTTCAAGTTACCACTCCTCAACTGTTCTTTTAGGATTTTTCTTTTGTGAAAACTGCTCAACTTTCATTAAAGATATTTTTGTCCTGAGATAGTTAACATCATACATCATGTCTAAGTTTGGGATCAGCGTGAATCGTGTGCTGTAGATAACCCACAGACTGCCAGTCTCCAAAATTTTAAGCTAAAAATGTTCTTTTGATCCCACTTTATCTGTAGTGACTCCCACACTCTACCCCCAACTACCTTGCAGTTCTAATAGATTAAGACATGGATCGATTTTATTTGTGTAAACTGTTAAAAAGCCCCCACACACATACACCTTCATGGTGGAAGGGAGGAAGGCCTGTCCTACTGGACTTCTGACAGGATGAAAGGGGTGGGGGTGGGGAAACAGACCCTTCCACCCCTTCGTGTTTCTGCCGAGGTATGAATGGAATGGCTTTTCTAGAAAGGGGCTTCCAAGAACATAAAGGAATTCCTTTCCCTGGGAGGCCCTGTGCAGAGCCCAAGGCTTGAATTGGGTTTAGGCCTCAAATCCATTTGATCTGGCATTTTTGTCAATATGGTACATCTTAGGTAGGCCCACTATGGTTTTCTTTTCTTCTTCTTCTTTTTTTTTTTTTTGTGAAAGAGTGGCATCGTTATTAAAATGCTTCTTCGGTCAGAACTTCAAAGTTGAGAAACGATACCAGGGCTTCTTCCGTGGGCAGAATCTTGAGGATAAGGGTAACGGTATTGGGTTGCCATGGTAACTGCTTGGCAACATTGCCAGAGTCCATAACCTCTGTAAGCCAGTTTGGCTTTCTGAGGAATCTTTCTTCCTGTTTTAGGTCATGAAAATGTGATGTTTGTTCAAGTAAGGAAATTTTTACTGATACGCATTTTAATTTTTAGGAACACACAAACTCCCTTATGTTTACATTATCATTTGTAAATCTATAACAGGTTCATTTTTTCCCCTTCAGTTAACCTGTTAACCTGCTCCAGAATCCTTCTGTCTAGTGGATACAGCTCCCAGAGGTAATATCCAAAAGCACTTAAGTGGTACTTTATTGAAAAATGTTGGTGCCGATGCCCATGAATCAAACAGACCTTCTGAGAACCACGGCTTAATTATGCGACTCTTGAACATAAAAGATAACGCCATCAGCTTATTACCCTGTGCAGATACCGAGAGCATCCAGTGAGGCGTAGCTGAGTATGGAGGGAGTCTACACAGAGTCTACAGAGTTCGTATGTTGAGGGCTCTTGATGCCACTGATTGTAGAAGGGTTGGTTAAAAAAAAAAATCGACACCTTTGGATACAGGTGGGAAGAGTTTCCTGAAGTGAAGTAAACTTCCTTAAAAGGAAATTAATAAAGTGTTTCCTGTGTAGAGAAATTGAAAGGCAGTAAAGCAGATGTTGGACAAGACAGATGTTCAGGTTAGAGCCATGACAGAATTTTTGAATAGTGATTTTCTTATTTTTCTTTCCATACCGGGGTTTAAACGCAGCATCTTCCTGTCACCCAAGCCCTGGGCTACTGAGCCACACCCATAAAGAAAAATACACCCATAAATACATAAATCATAAGTGTGAAACAAAAGTAATGGAAGTTTATTTTAAACACTGCTGGTGCGTTTATAAAAAGGGTCTCCGTTCACCTGTTACACATGACATGTTCGTGCGAAGCTCTCGCTATGTAGAAAACGCTTAAATGTATACACCATTTTCATTACATCCCTTACGCATGTTCACCTTCCACAAGGTGCGGCCCGTTCAGGTTTCCGTATTGCACATGCAATTTAACTAGCCTTAGTAGTACCTAGTTGCAGCAAACACAAGCGTAGGACTAACAGATCTGTGAGGGTTGGAGGGACTTTGCCAGGGAATTAAGCTCGTCAGGGACATTCTAAGATGCCTGGCTATATATCTCTTTTTTTTTTAATTTTTTATTTTTTTGCATTTGATGCCTACTCCATATATTTTGAAGGTGCAAATTGTGGGTGTTACCAAGAGTTCCTATGGGCTCGGGAAAGAGCGAGCTTGTTAATGTGCTTCTGAAGCACACCCATGTCCACGCACACAATAGGCTTGCACGCCGGCCTCCTTAGCCTCGGCTTGTTGGGTTTTGTATTTTTAAAAGGATTAAATTTTAAAATGAGATGCATGAGTGAGTTCAAAGACCGCAGAAACTCTTGTCTGCTCGTGGGACTTACAAGGATAACATTTTGCGTTTACTTAAGTGTCCAAAAGGATTCTGAAGGGACTTCCACCCTGACTCCACCCCTCTGGAACGGCGGACTGTGGGATGGGTTTGGAGAGGGGGGTCCCTTTAAAGTGGCATCCTTCCGCCAAGCTGCATACAATGCCTTGGATTCCCGCTGCTGGGCCTCGGCTTGATTGCCCTGGGAACTGGGTAGTTTGAGGTCACACGTTGGCATCTGGACTCTCAGCCCTCTGAAAACCGGCCCTTGGTGACAAGGATGGGCGGGCGGTCCCTTCTCCTCATCCCCAACTGGGATCCCGACCCTCTCCACCGGCATCTACGGTTAAAGTCTAAAAGGCGGCTGCGGAGTTCTATTAAAATAGTTGTCTCTGTATAAATTAATTTATATCGTGCATATACAGTTCGCCCCTCCATCTGCTGGACCTTAAAAAAAAAAAAAGAAAAAAAAAGAAAGAAAGAAAAGGAACCAGAGAAGGCCTGGCCTATGGCTTCTCCCTGTGGGCCGCCCTGCGGAGCGGGACCGGCCCTAGCGGGTCACCTGCCGTTGGTGATGATGACCGACGCACCCAGGTAGTGCGGCCGGGGCGCGCCGGGCGCGGGGGCGGCGACGGGGTCCGGGTGTCGCGGCCGCAGCTGGCCGACCGCCTCCGGGGCTCCGGGGCCGCAGGCCAGGCCGGGCGCAGCGCCCCCCAGCGGCCCGCGGCGCGCCAGCACGCGGTGGTAGTTGAGCAGCACGAAGGGCAGCTGCGCCGGCGCCTGCGGCTCGGGAGCGGGGGGCGCGCAGCACTCGGGGGGCGCTCGGGCCAGCGCCAGCCGGGCTCCGTCCCGGGACACCTGGCGCGCCGCCTTGGCGGGGCCCAGCGCCGGCTCCTCGCGGTAGTGGCCGCAGCTCGGGAAGCTTGGGGGCGCGGGGTCCTCGCCGAACCTGCGCGCGGCGGCGGCGGCGGCGGCTGCAGCGGCGGGCGCTGCGGGGAGGGGGGCACAAGAGACGGGTTAGAGAACTGCACTCGGAGACACATCAGCCCTCTGCTCTGCCCGGAGCCACAGGCACCCTTGACCTTGCACGGAGACACATGTGCCCTCAGTCACGCACAGAGAGCCACGCGGCCCTCCTCGTTTACGCACGGAGTCGCACGTGCCCTCAATCAATCGTGCAGAGCCACGAGTTGCTCCTCCGTCATAAGCGGAGCCACAGCCCCCCTCGACCCCCTCCCTTCGCGCACAGAGTCCTCCTCCTCCACCAGTGCCAATCAGGAGACGCTGTTGGAAGCGTGCTGGGAGCTTTAAGAGGAACAGGTGGGATTCATTCCGAGTAATACACTTAATGCAACAGAGCCAGACTCGCCAGTGTGGCATCAATATTAAAAGATGCTCCAAAGCCACACGGAGCTAGCGGACACCTTCCTGGACAGTAGTGGAAGCTAAGCAGGGTCCTCTCCACAGTGCCCAGTCTGCTAGGCTCACTAATTCCTCAGTGTGGGTGGGGTGGGAGGGAGGGGGTGTTAACGGCCCTGTGCTGTTTAGTAGCCCCATAATTAAAAGTATTAACCATGCCCATTCAAGTAACTCCCCCGAGCTTTCCCATGAGGCCTTTGTTTTCTTTTAATACCAAAGACAAGGAAGTTGGTCACAAATAGCCTCAAATTAGCCCCTTTAGTCCTTCCCCACCCCACTTCTAATCAAATGTGACAAGTAGGTGGCCTTTTTTTTTTTGCTTTGAAATAGTAAAATAGTAATAAAAGTCAAATTCTGTGTGTTTTATCATTAGCCAATCCTCAGATACAAAGAAATAATAAGTCTGTCTCACATGGATGTTTACAAGGCCCTTCACATTTTCTTTCCTCGACTGTGGGGGACCATGGCTGCTGGGCAGGCTGTGGCTAAGGCAGGGCGCCCCAGTGGCTAATGTGGTCTCTTCTAAATTGTCTGCTTCTGAAAACCATGTTCTCCTGCCTCATCTCTCCCATGATTGTCCCCTGCTCAGATCTGGCCTTGAAATGTGGACTACTCACAACATGGAGTCATATCCTCGGAGTTTGCAGAGAAAGGGAAACCACAGAGAGTGTGGGTGCAGGAAAGCCGCGGGAGAGGGAAAAGAGAGTGAAGAGGGCACACATTTCAGGGAACTGCTTAATAAATGCTGCTTTGTTGTTGTTGTTTTTTATCCCTAGGGCATACGTAGCTTCTTAGTATGACATTTACCCTCACTTTAGGGGTTCCAGCAGACCATCTGCACCAGCTTGCTCAGTGCTCTGAGCAGTCACCAGGTCTAGATGGAACCGGTTTATACCTTCCCACAGCTAGCCTCAGGACATACTTTCCTCCTCTGCTGGTGATGGTCTAGTGCCCAAACAGAAATCTCAGAGTGGGCTCTTCCCACTTACTTGCTAACAGAGAAAGTTAAAAGGTCAGCCCTGTCGGGCACCTGGGGTGTGCTAAGTAGCCTCACTACATAGGCTGCAATCCCATTTTACAGAGAGAAAAACAGAGGCTGGAAGAGTCCATGTTAATTGTTCTGTGTTCGTGGCTTCTGCCCCCAAGGCCAGGAATTTC